TATATATATATATATGTCTAATCGTATTTTTAGCTCTTGGCAGAGTTTTTAAGCTTTCGAAGTAATTGGGAAGCGACACGTATCATGTGCCTACGTAAACTACCGTGCTCTGTATCTGGCGGAAATTGTTTGAAAGGACTTTTAATCACAGCCTACAAGTCAACCAGAGTACGCCAATCCTCACAAGGCAACAGAGGAACAAATCAAAAGTTACGTTTCTTGTATTTGTTAGCAAGCAAGTCCAAACTCAGCTCATCTCTCGGATGTATACCGTTTATAACGTATATACACACACGCTAACATAGACACCGACTATCGACCGGCACTCATTCGTAAATCATTTCCGAAAAATCCGCCCTAAAGAAGCTTATCCAATCTTCCTAGCAAAAGTACAGCTGGTGAATAAGTAACGTCGCTTCAGCTGTACAACAAGTTTCTAGCTGCTGCTGCGCGTGACTTATGAAGGCAGAACGGCAGGCAAAGCTGTCTGCCACGAATGCTTATAGATCTCCTTGTTGAACTAGAGATAAGATTTCGAACTAATAATGAAAATACAATTTAGTCCTATCAAATTACAAAGGCTCAATCAATGAAATTTCAGCTAACCTAATTGTAAGTGGCGCTTTGGTACCACAGTACATAAATGCGTCACAACATATTTTTAAAAAGAGTATTCAACCCCTATCGGCGCCTTCACTGGACCTATAAGAATCGTTTTTCTTTTGGGATCGCTTCTGTATTTAGCGTCGATATGTATGGTACTAGATCATATATGCGATAAAGCAAGTCGGAAGAAAATGAATATATCGGAAAGTTAGGGTATGTATCAAAGTACAGCAATTGCTCTTTCTGACGGTTCGAGACTGACATACAACGTCTTCTGTTCGTTAAAAGTATCTCCATACGGGGACGGCCAACGGTATCAAGGAAAACACTTTTAGGAGTCAAAACATGTCTCCAAGCCTATGACACGGACCTCTTCTTCCTAATTTATTGTAACTAGTGGAATTTCAGACTCGCGTTTAGGAAATGCATCTGTAGAATTGAAGAAAACAGCTTTTGCCTAAATAGAGTTGGGTTACAACCATATCTACTAAAATCTTAACGTTTGTCCTATCTAGTTCACATGGACCACGCAATGCGAGAAACATTGAACGCTAAGATACCCATAGCCAAATCTACGAAAGCACCCGCGGTATTGTGCAGGATCATACACAATGTCCACAGCCCTAGAGCAGATAGGGAACATATATTAAAAGCTTTATCACCAGCCCATTTCCAGTCTAGACCATCTTAAACTCGGCAGTATTACACACACAGGCCAGTTTGTACCAATCCGATGACTCCTGAACGAGGAGTAACTAGGGCAGAACTTTCTATAAAAGGCGTCCTTCCGAACAGCCAAAAATTGATTGAGCATCCTGGAGGGAAGCTAGATTGCCTTCCAATTTACTTTCTTACCCAACCAACAATTATCCAGAATCATTTTTTCACATGTGTCCATTATGATGAGTGTCCTAGGCACAATGCCGTCCATAAGTGGCGCATGATCGGCCTTTGCAGATTGGTGCATTCAATTTAAGAAAAATTTTATGAGCTGTTTGTCGTAACCGGCAGGCGTTCAGCCACCATTTCTGGTATCAGATAAAAGTCAATTCTCTTTAGAGCAAAAAAAAACAACAAATTCCCCAGGGCAAACAACATTGCTTGATTAAACGACAGTTGTTCGAACTTATTAGTATTATTTATTATCCGATCTTTCCGAACTGTACGAACCTTTGACATGATTAAAAATTTCCTTTTTTGCTCGAAATCCAAAATTCGGCAAGCACTTCTTATGAAACGAGCCGGAAAACCACCAACGGAGTT